CTTATGAGTACACAAACATAAGAACCAATTTTCTTAATGTGAATGTTAAATTATTCATGCTTTAAAAGTCCCCTTGGGCTACGTCTTAAACGTCCAATGTTTTGAGGAGAACCTTTAGATAAATTATTGACCAGTAAAAATGAGTCCAGAGTGTATTTGCTCTATTTTTATTTACTTTGCTTATCTATAAGAATAAAACAGGATGTTGGTTTGTATATTTGTATGTTTGGTTGTGATAAACTCAGACACCGCTGGACCGATGGCCACGAAACTTTGTACATACATGTAGAATTTCATAGATTAGGTTTATACAACATTTTGTGACAACTTACAGAGCTTAGCCCTGGGACCGTCTTAAAGATAACCATGTCAGGGATTTTGAAAGAATTTTAGTTAGATTTGTTTATGTGGTTTATGTGGTTAATTAAATGCAATTCACTATATAAATTGAAATGCTGGTACTGTATGAAATGGCTGATAGTAGGAATATTTCCCGACGCTAACCACGCAAGGGCACGGCAACTGACAATTGGTAAAGTTAAATTTTTCCTATAGTTAAGAAATGTGTAGCTGCTTTCTACTTTTGATCAAATATCAACACATTTTCTTCTGCGTCCATAATTAGTTGTGAAGCACGGTTAAAAAACACAATTTATTAACGTAACTGATCAAAAAGGGTGTTTTAAAGGTAAACTACGGTTGACCTAGCTTTAAAAGTCACAGACGAAACCTCAGCTTTAACTAGTCGTACAAACTTATCCCGACAATTTTAGTTTCTCTTACCTTCTGGTTGTTTCTGTTTCGGTTTCCTGTTCCTGCTAGGTCTAGTGACCCCTACAGCTGCTACAGGCAATACTTTGCACACAGAGCTTCGATGTTCCCTAAGCGACATTCTATACACTACACAACAAATTGGTTCATCTGAAGCTATAACTATTGTACGGAATGTTCGGATTCATTGTAGGAGTTTTCTTATTCATTATCCGTTATCGTGTTCATCATCCGTTTTGAAACTGCGTTGTTCGATTTTGACTTGATTCATTTCGAAAGTCTCCTCATCGGATGGGTTATTGGCTGATAAGATAATCATAATTACTAGTTGAGTAAGCGTATCATGTGTTTGTTGTTGGGTGACGTCATTGGTTTCGAAAATTCATCAATGAAATAGGATAATCTCAATAACAGCTTAAAGTTTTTGTCACAAGGTTTTTTCCTTATCTCCACCACCCTTCATTTGTGTCGATAGAAATTATTTTGTTATAAATTTAACCAATCAATCTTCTCTGCAAATCTTTAATTACAACAGTTAGGTCCTATACGGTTCTTTTATAAGTTATGGAAATACTTTTTGCGCATTCCGTTTAATATGCAAGTTAAATTATTTGCGTATTTAATTTTATAAAGTGTGCATATAAATAATATTTTCCTATTCAGCTGCTGCGTACAGACTAAAATATGAACGTTCCAATGCGATTATGGTTGTTTGAATTTTGTTAATACTGTTGCCACTTACATTATCGGCCAATCTAGTTTTAAATAACGAACTGTACCCACAAAATAATAAGCCTCTTTCTATTAAAGCTATAGGAATACACAAATGTTTCGGTTAATAAATCGTACAAATCCATAAGGTGATATTTTTAAAGTTCCACGATTATGAGGCTTTTAAATCCAAAACATCCCTAAAAATCCCTAAAAAGTGGTGCTTGCAACGCAAATGAATATTTGGGATCTAGTTAAAATGTGTATTCAAATAAAAATTAAATGAAACCCCCCACAATTTTCTAACATCCATAGCTTGATTATGCGTGACGATTAAAACATGTTAATAACTATCTTTGCAGAAAAATACTTTTTAGTAGGTGTATTTGATATTAAACTGCAACACGTATTACCGGATTATTTTATTTGTAAAGTTGTTTTCAGTAAGGGTTAACAATTAGTTAATAATTTAAGTATAGGCTACGTTTCTGGAAATTTTATTAGTCCTTTCAAAAGCTCTTTTCCGCTATCACTGCTCTTTTTGTTTTGTTTTTATTCTTTTTTTGTTCATTTTTACTATAACGTCTTTCTTTGTTTTCTTTTTCAGTACCAGCAATTCTTTTCGATTTCAATTTTCCTGTTAGTTTTTCTTCAGTTTTTGCTTTGGTTGATTTTTCATCTTTTGTTTTGTACTTCTCATTTTTACTTTTTTCTCCACCGTTTGCGTTTATTATAACAGTTTCTTCATCCAACTGGTTTTTCGAATTGTCTTTTGTCTTATGTTTTCTTCTCCTTTCTTTATCATGTATCTTTCTTTCCTTGTCTTTTTCGTTCCTACTTTTACTTGACCTTTTTACCGTCCCATTGTTTAAAATATAAGTTGTTTGGTTGTCTTTTACATGTTCGTCATTTTCATTCTTTCTAAATAAAATAAACGCTGCATTCATGAATCTTGTGACAAGTTCATCTCGAGTTTTAAAATTAATTAATTTATTTCCTATTTTGGTTGAGTTACGAGTACTATCTTCCTTTCCTTCCTGATTAGCAACTTTTAACGAATTCTTTTGGATTTGCTCAATTGTAGTTTCTTTTTTGATTTGTTGTGTGCCACCACCGGAAATAATTTCATTATACATCCGTTCTTCTTCCTCTAAGTATGTATCACTCATTAGCAGTTCCTCCATATTGCTTGCGGTATACTTCTTCTCGTTTGCAATTCCTCCTGGAGGACAAACCACTTTTGGGCAACAGTCAGGAAACTCTTTTGTAAGATCAGGAAAACCCTCGAGACGACATCCTTTGGGGACATCCACTTTTGGACATCTGAAAAACGAAGCTCTTTTAGTAGCGTGGAAAGACTTATACAAGGTGGGAAAAACAGAGATGGTATACATGCACAGCAAAAGCAACTTACAATAGTATTTACTCCTAGCACTATGCATTAGGTCTCGATTCGCTTTTATTTGTTCCTAAATTGGTAGGGTCATATTGTTGTTATTTCTAATCATCCATTCTAACTTAGTTATATGATTTTGTTGTTTCCTGGCCGTTGCCTTACTCAGGGACGGACTGATCATCACCATCACACACCAACCCGCCATCAGTCCAACCTAATCCACATCAACAACAATAACAACAACACTAACAATCACAGTGAATACACAGTGACTCATTCACTAATAGTCTATACCTAGTCTAGTATAACTACCTAGTCTATGCAGTAGTGCTGGTCTAGTTGCAGGGTAGAGCGCGGGACTTCGGTCGATGAGGCCTCGGGTTCAAATCACTAATGCATTTCTCTCGGGTGACAATGTCACAACCCCTAGATCTAACCTGAAGTTATGTGAAGATTGCCCGGTCTAGAGCCAAGCTTGGAGCATAAACCCACATGACTCGGAGAACGAAATTCTTCTCCAGTAGTTGTCTATTTTTATAGATTCCTATCCTTCTGCTCTGTAATAACACCCGTAATACCAAGTTCTTACCTAACCTTCTACTACAGCAAAGGCTGAAGAGCAACATTCTAGAACAGACCCAGTGTTCTCACTTACTAAAAAAATTATGGCCACATGATACTTCATAGGATCAATATAGTTTACGAAATTGAAACAACGATATGTTGACGGCATCTTTTATCTTGCATTCGCCTGTCCACATGGTCACAGAGGCATGTGCTTAGAACCTATCTAGCAAAGCAAAGGATACGCCTGTGCAGTACAAGGGTGAAATGTAGTGAGAAAAGGTAGTGGAAGGTACCAGGATACGAACCCATGCCATCGTTGCCTTGGGCTAGAAGTCTACGGTGCTACCGACTGAGCCACCGACTCAGCCACACATTCTGGGCTCGTCTAAATACAAGGGAAATAAAATGTATAATAATTCTTATTGCTAATGTAAGATAATGGAATACATCCATCTGAACGTACAATAACTAGTTGAGAACGTGCAAACGTTTAAAACACTGACTGTTCAATGTTAGGGGTATCAACTGAAAGGTCACATACTTAATGTTACTAAATGGCTTAGTCTATAATATTTTGCTAACTTATTTTGGCCATCAATATTTCTTTAATCTCTTACTTTTCTTCGAATATGTGAGGTTCGCTGTACTCATTCCTTCCGCATCTTTTCCTGTTACATATTCCGTACTTGTGCTCGGACCATTCCTCTCCTATGTCCCTCACACAGTACTTGTCATCACAACGATCTGCAGGAAAAAAATAATCACAATAATTATTAGTTCTATTGAGTAAAAGGGGCTTAGTGCGCTAATTATGCGTTAGGGTCCCAATCTGATTCAGAGGCAAAAAGAATAATGCAATCTTTTACTTTTCAAAGATTATGTTTGCTTAAGACAACTATTCAGTGAAAAGAAATACTAATTAACTGTAAAATACATTTGTTAAATTTTTTATATACACCAGAAAGAGTGACATATCTACCTCAATTAGGTTAGGATTATCAAAAAGTAGCATATTTAAAGTCCATATGCATAAACTGGTATTTCTTTTGTTTAAAATCTGACTGTTAAACAATCGACCGAGTGATCAGCTGTTAAATTTAACTTTGCAATAAACCGTTATGAAAAAAGTTGGTCAGTTGGTTAGTTGCTTAGTGGAAAGTTAGTAATGGAAAATTGAATCTTTGAAATTGAACTATTGGAAAAAAAAATCAAACGCTATGGTAATAAAGCCTCGAAAGGAATAATTTGTTTAGTTAGCGCTCGTCATTCTTCTAGATCGTGAACTTTAAAATGACACCTCAATCGTTAAAATCGGATAAGTATGCCAGCTGGAAAATTGATGTAACGGAGAAAACCCCTTAAAATAAGTATTTAGATTTTATAACAATTTTTTCCGTTGCTGATAAATGTTGTACTGTAGAGTTAACAGAGATACACACAACATGCAACATAAATACTTTAAGTATATATTTGTTAATAGTAAGTTAAGTTGTTAATGTTAAGTAGATGCACTGGTATATATTAGAGAGGACTACGTCAGAGGCCGAGGAGAACAAAGTCCTAAACTAGCTCAAGGTTCATCGTCCCCTTAAATTTTATGAATAAGTCATATGAATGAAGACCTCCACACCAAGATGGAAGGAATCTAAAGCCTGCTTACCTGTAATTTGGCGTAACCAGTCGTTCTGGTATTCAGTGTACTCCTCATCTCCCGGGCATACTACGCGGTCGCAGCAGTAGGGGAAGTCCTGGTGCTCAAGGGTTTGACCTCGGAGTCTTATACACCCCTCGGGAACTTCTAGTTTCGGACATCTGTGGACAGAAAATCAGTTCAGAGTATCAGTGCGATGCTGTGTTACTGTACAATCAATGAGTTTGTGCTTGTGTGATGGATGAAATGTTTAAGATCCTAGGTTTCTCTTTCAAGATTGACTTGGTAGTCGTGTGGTAGCTGTTCGCCTTTAACTTTAAAGGTCACTGATGCCTGAGAAGAATATCAGAATCTGAGAATAAATAGAAACCATTGTCTACGTTGACCACCTAGACCAGTGTTGAATTATCAGTTGTGCTTCTGGTAGAATACAGTACTTTCAAAGTAGGAAAGGGATACAATAGACAACAAGTAGAAAGATTATATTTCAATCAATCATCATGTGTCGTATTTTGAAGTAAACAAGATGTCCATTTATAGAAAAACTGTCAAACTATTTATTTTTAAAAGTGTGTGTAGTTGACACTTACACTTCCTCGATAATGGTGCCATCTCGGGTGCAGGTTTTCCTGTTGCATTCATCAAGATTGCGCCAAATATCTCCAAACTCATAGACGATGTCAGTAAACAACCCGTCGTGGTCCCAGCATCCCTCTAGAGCACAATGTTGAATGTGAAAATTAAAGAAGGTAGGTTTACTTAATGAGGCTTAGTGAATTAGTAATGTAAAAACCTTTTGTGTAGCCCTGGGCTCCTTATATGACCAAATAGGCTGTGTACTTCCGTCTCTAGTATAATTCAACGAAATGCTGACTAGTTATGTTGGAAGTGTAAGATTGCCAAAGCTTGCAACACGTCAAGTCGCTAAATTAATAAATTTCATGAAACACAAATGTAATAGACACGAACATAAAAAGAGTGTTACGAATTTCATAATAGAATACTTTATGGACTATAAACATACACATGACATCACTGGCTCGAAAGACGAATTTTTCGCATTTGTATTCAAACGAAATCATCAGAAACTTTTATACCAGATGTTACAGTTATTAGTATAAAATTCGGGCCAGTGATGTCACTTGTTTATTTAGATGATCTACACAGTTTCTGTTCTTAAATCCGTGGATATGCTACTACCACCAGGCTAGCTAGTATCGTAGCGCTATCAATGCACTATTTGCCCTATGATAATCGTGCTGTTTATATCCAAACCGTAATTAATACGGATTTCTTGTTTTTGACCAAATCTATTAGTGACCTAGAAGCATGGAAACTGCTTAAATTATTAAGCGCCTATCCCCAAAACTGATACACTTTAATTAGCAAACTCACTTAATTTTAAAGTAAATTTACGGGATAAGCAAAACAAAATTTTTTAATAACTCACCGATTGGCTGACCTCGACTTGTCCTATAAGGCCTAAAATGCTTCCTTATTTCTGGTTTGATGTCTTCCTCCTCTTCCATATTGGCGATTCCTTATGATTGATCATAGATGATATATTTTTTGCCTGTGCAATCCATGTAAATCTGATTTAGCTGTCTCATGATGACATTGGATTTCTCCAGTGCAGCGCTACAAGCTATATTGAGTGAATTTGCGCTATTTACAGTGACTGAAGCGTTAGTTAGCAAAGATAGTGGCTAAGATGTTTGATAACAGTTTGATAAAAACGCACTGAGTATCGCCACGGTCGTTATGGATGTATGAAGCGAAAGTACTTATACAGTATTTGTACTATAACTTATTTTAATAGTTAATTAGCTTAAACTGTCTTTGAAACCAAGATTTTAGTAGATTATTTTTGTTTAACCTTCTCATTTTTGTGGATATTTTTCCATATGGAAAGGTATGTGCCACTACATATGCAAACATATGTCCTGGTGCACATGCGTTGATACATCTCCTGTCAATAAGTTTTTTCTTTATTTAAATGTTGATAGCTTATTTTTTTTATTAATATTTTTTAATGTATCTACACCAGTTCAACTTAAAGAGTCTATGGAAGCTAACGGCCATCTTGGATTTGTCCGCCATAAGGGCAATGTATATTTCGTTAATATCAAACATCTGCTGAAGAGTTATTTTCCATCTCAAAATATTATTCAAACACCTTAGTGATTGTTATTTTAATATCTAGTATACTGTGAGATTACACGTTTTCTTTGTAGTTCTTTAATTTTTTTGTTAAGGCTCCAAAGAATCTTAAAGTATTAAAGCTCTTTTTAAAAGTCAAGGACGAACACTTCCCAGATTATTTTAAAAGTCAACACCAATAAATCCTAAATTCTTTACCTCAATATTTTTTACCAAAGTAATATTAAAATACAACTGTAAAGGTGTCAATAAAACAATTTATATATAATGTTTAAATTAAAATTTATTTCCTAATATTGTAATGTAATACACAAATAATTCTTTTAGGTAGTTATTCATTTGTACATTAAAATTATTACTTATTGTTTCTTTATTCCGGTTATTGGTATGTTCATTATTCATTTCTCCATTATAATAATATAGCTGAACAAATCATCCATGATCAGTACCTAAACATACTTAAATATTGATATTTCTATGTACCGTTTTCAAAATACTTTAAGGCTGCACATCTCTATCCTTAATCTTCTTTGTTATTTTCGTCGTCCACCTACTCCATCCCAAACATACTGTTTTCATAGAGTTTTCCACTAATACTTCTTTCTTTCTAGATACACCCCCCACTGTATTCTTTCTTCCTCTTTGAGAAGGCCTGTGTACGTTATACTCATTTATCTTAATCTTGGTCAATTCTGTCCAAGCCACTGACTTTGGCGCTGATGGTGGAAGGGTGGGGATAAAGTTCCTCCTCACTGTCCGAGCTGCACGAGTGGATATAGTTTTCGTAGATCCACCATATAGGTTTATGGGGTCTAACTATAGGCCGAGGCTTGACTGTATTGTGGCACTTCAGTTCGTCACAACACTGTGGGTACGGGTCTTTCACGTTACCCTTGACAATATGGCAACCCTCGTGGTCCTTGGGGATTATGGGACACCTGTAAAATGAGGTAATTGTGATTTTAGTGTCCATGGAAGTATCTTTTAGATTTTTAGAAACTGAAAGTCTAGATTACATTTTAGCGAATTTCTATATAGGGAAGTAGCTATTACCGTAGGTGTGGAAAGACCTAGACCAGGAACCGATTTACTTTTTTATTTTTATGTGCCTGGAGGCCAATAACACTATTAGTTAAAATTTATGTATGTGTCCGTAAACAAGATAAATCGAGTAATTTTATGACCAATTTTGATGAAACTCGTCATGAATGTATAGAGCTTATAAACTTTATTGAGTGCACGAGCCAGTAAGATCATGGCAAAGTGGTGTTATGGGGGTTTGAAGTTTGTCAAATATTGGGGTTTTGAAATTTTCACCTTAAAACATGGAAATGCCAAATTTTTATTGGATCCATCTTGTAAAGCTTTTAACAATCAATTTTGTATGTTGAAACATCGTTGTACAATCAAATGTTATACGGGAAAAATAAAAAAAAAACACATTAAAAACCCCCCCATGTAATTCTTATAGAGAAAAAGAAAACTGTTTCAGTTTGCTAGCTTATGAACGGGGGGTTTCATCAAATTTTGCAAATTTATTTATCTTATCCTGTTTGATCGAAACACATTTTCCTTTCCCCGTAGCAGCGAACCTAAGTACTCGTAAAGTCTAATGTTATTGAAATAGGGAATGAATATGACTTGTCTATGGAAATCTTAAGCTTGAAACCAATAAGACAAACTAACAATTCACCTAGTCTGTAGGTTTGCTGCGGTGGGGAGTATTTAATTCTATGCAACTAGAATACTCAATAATTGAAGATACTTACACAAACTTATAAGAAAACTCTATTTAGGGATTACCTTTTAACTTTATGTTCAGCAGATGTTAACTTGTAATGAGGCAGAACATGCATTTTGTCCTATTACTAATGCAAATTGACCCTCAAATAACCTGACAGGATTAAAAATGTAGGTTCTATTGTAACTTTCGTTTACCTGAGCTCCTTGATGGTGTCATGAGCGACGCATATCTTCTTGTTACATCGGTTTCTTGATGACCAAATTTCGCCCAACCTGTGAATTCCTTCCTTATCCCTACAGTACTCTAGAAAAGAACTGTGAATCATCAATCAATATAGGTCTTTGAAATACAACTCAAAGGGAATTTACAACTGGTAAATCAAGGAAAAAGGTGGAATGTACACTTGTACAGTGATTTATTCATTCATGATGGTGACCTGCTGATGGTAAGGCCCATGAAAGAAATTGGTGTGGATCCAGATATGTTAAAATCTTGACGTTAGGCGACTAATTCTTACAAAACCCAGTATTCTGTTTACATATTATTCGCCTAGAGGAACTCGGTATGTATATACATTGTACAATGGTGTTATTTGACCAGGTTGGATTTTTTAATACACAGGTCATCACACACCATTCTACACTCATCCTTCACTCATATTTGGGTTAAAATACGCACCTATAAGTCCCCATCTCAATGATTGAAATTGATATTATGGTTGACCAGCTGTTTCTTTATTCATGGCCATTTAAACCCTAATGACTAAGTAACGCTAGACCCAATTTGAACAATATTAGGCTACTGAAATATCTTTGGAACAAACCCATTATGAGATTAGCACTTTAACCAATCAGATACCCTAAATAATAATTTATTAATACCACTAATTAAAGTTGGAGCCAGACATAATTGCAATCATAGAAAGTAAACGTCTGAGGTGGCTGGATCATGTATTAAGAAGGGATAACTCCAGCCCGATAAAACGGACATATAATGGTAGACCCAATGGTAGAAGTACATTCCTAGATAGGAAGACCAAGACTGCTGTGGAGGAATCAAGTGCTGAAGGATGTAAGAGGATTGGGAGCAAGAGAGGAAATGACAGAAGATAGAGCAGAATGGAGGTAGATTGTTGTAGGGGCTGTAAACCATATTGGGTTTACGTGACCACAGGATAAAAAGTAATTACAATATTCTTTCTTACCATCCTCATGTTCGTTGGAACTATCTTGCGACATTCTCGCTCTGAAATTCCATATGTGATAGTCAATCCAATCGATTACATCTTTTGGAATACCCATGAATATGGTCCTCAATGTCCAGTCTAAGTAGATCATAACGTCCTGCAACTCTCCCGTAATCCTGTCTTTCACATCCTCCCAGTCAATTCTTCTTATTATTTGTCCCATTTTAAAATCTTGCCGTGTTCTTGATGATTATAAACAAGTAATCATTCGTGACAGGAATCACAGTCTTTTAGGAAAGACACTAAAATTTTAAGTGGGATGCGCATAATACACACATCTTTCGAATATAATATTCACTGTTATCGATAGAACGTTTTTTGTGCTGAATTTTTGACAAATGCTAATCTAAAAACAAACATTTAAGCGTTATATTGATACTATTTAGATTTGATTCAGAGAAACATTACATAAAAAATGCAGCACAACGTAGAACATCTAGAAATAGCCGTTAGGTTCAACACAGTTTACCTTAGTTGGAATTTTACGAGTGAAAATATTTTACCAGTTATATATATATATTATCATAACATCTGTTGCTAAATTACTTTTATAAAGTCACGTCTTGACTAAATAACCTTGCTTAGTTTCAAGAATTCATATACTTTATTGTATCCCGATTGGAGACATGAAAGACAATGTTTCGATTTAACTTTTTTTTGTCTTGTGTGTAAGCAGCATATTCATTTTGATGGAAGGAACGCTCCAAACCCTGGTCTTTTTTATTTAACGACGACCTTTTGTAAGGAAAGGTCAATAATTGATATCCCAATGAACAGTTACTTGACCCAGAATCGACCCGCTTGGAACCAGGATCGAACTAGTAGCAGTAGTAGCCTAAGGTCACTCCTATCGCACCACCTGTCAGGGCAGGTGGGGTGAATTAATTGAGTTTAAAGCCCATCAGGCGGAAATGGTTGCTTCCGGTGCTACGTCACTTTGTGACGTCATAGGTGATGTGTAATTGGGGGGGGGGGGGGGGGGGTGTATGAGGGTGATCATATGGTTTTCAAGGTCATAGGTTTGTGTTTTAAAAAAAGGAAGCTATTCTACACTTGTAGTGTAGGATAGCTTCCTTGTTTTGTTTATTGTTTATTTGTATAAAACATGAGGGATGACAATAACTTACATACTATTACAATTAATAAGGAAAACATGTGCGAACGTACGTATCTAGAGTGAGCGTCTGCTAAAGTGTAAAACGAATGAGTTTATTGGTGGCCTTTATAAAGGCCGTTTTGTGTAGTTCGGCGACGCTTGTGTACTTGGATGTTTACTTCTTCAACTCCTCTATTGTATTATGGAGCTCTTTCCATCTTGCCATGTCTGCATTGTGCTCGGCCCATTCGATGTTGTCTCGAGGCTGAGCGCACCAAACACGATCAAATTTGCGTCGAATCTCTTTCTCCTCCTCTAGCAGTTGAAGTAGTTTTTTTTCCTTTCGTTTTCGCTCCTGCTCTTCTGCTTCGATGCATGCTTGGTGTAGGTCAGAGTCTTCAATATCACT